GAGATTGCGTCTTTTTGCCAATTCTCTCGGCAAGGCTGCAGAAATACGCAAGAACTACGTCAGATTGGAATAAATTGGTTGTTAAAAATATGAATATTATAGTGTGTGGCATTTGTGTTGGGCATATAACAATGAATTATACCTAGAGCTTGATTATATAAATGTATCATTTCATTCTTTCACGTATGCGACTTCGGGATCCTGATTTCTATGGAACAAATATGGTCTTAACATACCCTGAATAGATAGAAGACTTTGGACTTTTTTAAGGTCGGCAACTCTCAACATGGCCTCTTCAAATTGTTCAGCCCACAAGTTTGGTACGGTATATTATTAAGACCTTTGCTAGAAAGAGTATAGTCATCAGCAAAGATCGGCCCGTTCGTAGCTTTTTTGCATAGATCGTTTCTGTTCAATGAATTTGGACCTTTGGCTCTTTGTTAAGTAGGCTAGCCTTATGTGAAGCTGAGCTCTTATATTCGATGTAAATGTTTTGAAATTATTGCTTAATATTGAATAAGAGCATGGTAATCCTAACTCGGCAAAAACAATCTAAGCTCTGATAGAGAAATGTGTAGGCCTCAAGTAGGCAGTACATTTTAATTAGCGTTCTCTCCCAAATCATGTGCTAACTCAGGCTGGACTAAAAGACATCTTGGCGTTTTCAAATATATTATTGCATAAAAGTATAACTCCATCGCTTGTTACGGTTAGTATAATATTGCCTTATTGACAATGTCATTAAGGCACAGTGACTGTATGATGGCCATGGTTACGTAGCGCAGTAATGAGACTCACGACAAAGCCAAGCCAAAAGCACAATCAGGAAGAAAAGATATAACAATTTAATGGTGAAGCTTGCATAAATTTGAATGGAATTGAGCAAAGTGCTTGCATAAAAATATCAATCTTCATTCTGTGAAAAACATTTTTGCGGCATAGGGTGAGTGAGTTTCTATTACAATTCACATTTACGCAAAAGGGCCATCAAAATTAGCCTGCTTCCAGTTCGGAAAGGTCATGCACCTATCTACAATGACATTTGGAGCATAAACCCTTGGCTATTAGACGTAAGTTATGCAGGTAGAATGACAACAAAAGCAATCTGTACAGATTCATAGTCAAAGCAATCCAAATTCAGCAGTATTTAATATGATACAAGTCGAAAATTCTTCAGTGTATGCTGGGATATCTTAAAGCCTGGACAAGGAACACCTTAGGATCAATAGCAGAAATAAGTATAGCTAAAATTGACTATGAAATGTATTCGCCCAATTCTGTTTAAGGTGATGAAGGACTGGTAGAAGAATTTTCCCACAACGATATGAGTAGAACTGAGGTTTGTATAGAATTTCAAGGAGCTATACTTTACCAAAAGTCGTTCTCATTCAGGCACCAGTGGACGGCAGTTTCGATCTCGCATCGGTCTCATCAACACCCCCAGCGGGAGTCGAACTGTGACACGTCAACCACTCTGCCACATTCCCACGAGTGCCCTTGGGTCACAGGGCAGATGTGAATTTCGAGGGAGGCCATGGGGTGTTGTTAAGACCGATGCGATGTCGAAACTGCAGTCCAGTCTGGATGAAAACAACTTTTGGGCAAGCAAGTCTGTGTGAAATTCAATGAAAACGTCACCTCTACTCATAGCATTATGGAAAAATTTTTCTTCTACCAGTCCTTCATCACCTGAAATGAAATTGGGTGAATACATTTCATATGACTGATTCACTGGTAGTCTCGAAATAATATTTAAATGCGAAAAATAAATTAATTATATTTTTGCTGCTAAACCTTTTCACATCACAAACTCAAACCTCGAAGTGCTGTCGGGAGAAAAAATATATATATATTTTAGTAATAGCCACAATATGGGCATTTACCATAACTTGATTTAACATAAATCCTGTTTTAATTATGTCATAAAGACAATATATGCATTAAAATAAGATACTGTCAAGAGAAAGGCCAAGGTAGCCAAAACTGTATTACGCAGATCTCCAGGACCTTGTTGCCATACAGCATGCAGGAAGTCAAGCATATCAGGCCTTTTCATGTAAGCAATGTTCTCTCACTATCCATTCATTGTTGGACAACCTGCTTTCAACCTCTCTCGTACACTTCTGTTGAGCTGAAGCAAGGTGCTTGTTGACGAAATTTCTTTTGTTGCCGAATGATCATACGAATTATGAAGATTCATAGCTAAGTGCAAATTCTGAAGGTGTTTGACCTTGGCAAAGGCTGGAGAATTTGATTTTGATAAGTTTTTCCATCCAGTTCTTTAATTATTATGTTCTTTAAACGAAACTGCTCTCGCTGACAGCGAATCAGATTCACCATGTTTCTAAAGTCAACTGAATTGACTTTCTTAATATTGGGTGAGATAAGCTCCAGCTATGATGCCGATTAGTAATCACAATTTTCGGTAGAACTCTATTTAGAAGTTGTGAATAATTCTAGAATACTATCATAGTCACCCTGGGTCACTTAAGTATATCTCCAAAACCTGGTTTTAATAACTTTATTTCTGGCTGCTACGTAACCTCACATCCTAAAATGGCAAGTATATGTTTGTCTCATCGACAATTTCACGATGAAATAATTATTTGTAGGGAGCATGGTTTTGCTTACTCGCCACAACTGCCATGTAATACACTTGGAAACTTGTTTGTCCGAAAGAGTATTGTGTGTTGTCAAGATACTCACGACCATGTTTCGGATCCCTTAGGAGTCGAAACTGCATTAAGTCCAGCCTGGATACAGCCAAAGGACATACAATCGAAACTTGTAGCCATTCACCTTGTCTGGTTGTCCTTTTTTGCTCGACGCCTTGGTCTTTTTTGAATACGACGAATACAAATTTCGTTTTTTTAATTCGGTCCATACGCAAAGTCAGGTTAAGAGAACAAATAAAAACATCTGTTGAAGACGAAAATTGTCTGGAATATTCAGTTTCCATAATTCTGCAATACTTGCATAGTCTGGAAACAATTGATTTAAAGCATTGACTGTAAGATAATCATCGCTTGATGTCTTATTTTCAGGAATGCAGTCATAGAAATAGAGCATTTCTTTTCTCTGGTCTTCTTCTTTTATTCATATCTTTTTTTATCCATATCTTTCCAAAAAGTCTGAAATGCAAATACCTTCATTTTACCTCTATTCTAGTCTAGTACCTTTACTTGAGTTACCAATTTGTCCTGTAAGAGATCTAATTTAAATCTGTACATGTTCATAGCATACATATTCACTTTGAAGCATTATACTAATTTTTTCCACCAAGGTCAACCTACACAGATTCTATATTCTTTCATTATTTTTTTTTCTTTTTCTATTATAAGCTATAATGTACCATTTTTCGATTTACATCTCTGTTTGCCTAAATCTAATGCCCTTAAGCCTGTGGTGGAGATCACGGAGGACACTTCCGCAAATTCCAACTCTGAGTCTCGGCATCTTTATGGCAATGAGCCCGCTGCAATTTCCAGCAACTTGGCTAAATTTCACTTACAAACTGACGCCACGACCGGGGCTGAGCTGACCGACAGAGCCTCGTCTGTTTCGGACACTGAAACCCTTGGAAGCCAAGTAACACTTGGGTCGAAATCTAAATCGACTATCCGGCTAACAGCGTCGACTCCTGATGGTGTGCAGATCTCATTTCATGATAAAACTGATCTCAGTGAGTAAACTCAACTTTAGGGCAGAAATAGTATTTTAAGTCCTAGAGAATGAGACTTCTTGTCTTAATTTCTCCCTAATAATAACAATTATGAAATAATAGATTCATCTATACCCAACTTTTCTTCGCATATAATTAATTAATGCCATATATGAGTAGTGTTTACCTCTCATACACCCGGTATCCAAGGTCAGTTGTTACCCAGACTGTTTTTTATAAGGGTTTGGCTGACCTCAGGAAGATAAGAAGCAATCATTGAGGTTTAGTCGTAAATACATGAAAAAAAGGTGCGTAAGTCATTTGTCGAAGAAGTAGACATTGGCGTATTCATAACAACTTTACTAGTAAGTACTTATTTAAGAAGTCTAGTTTTGGAATCCAGAAGTAAAGAAGCCTATCGGAAATATCATATAAAATGTGCTCAAAGACTAGTTTAACGTCGGGGATTTTAGCATGTATTTTGTATACCTCGAGACCTATAACGACTTAATTTGGTGATTGGCTTATTTCTAATAAATGTCCATCCATGAGGTATTTCGAATTAAATGTGTGTATGCGTATGTGCGTGCTAGAAATATCTAAAGATTATGTCCAATCAGGCTGTCCAAACTAGAGTCTTGCGAATAAACCTGCTTATCGAAGCAATTCAGAGTATTTGTCAT